GGAGCGCAGGGCAAGGGCGATGGGGAGAGTCCCGAGGCTCGTGATGAGCTGTGCCCTGCTCGGCACCTCCTGGTAGGCACACGGGCGGCGGGAGTGGAAATCACAGCTTTCCCCTCCACCCGCAGGAAATGCCAGTCCTGGGGGATTGAACATCGGCCTGTCCTGATTCGGGAGTCACCTGTGCTGATGTCCTCAGCTCCGCACACCGACAAGGGGCTTGCTAGTGGGATGTGGGGGTCAGGCTTTGGTCATACCCCTACTCCGCTCAAATTCGGGTCCAAAGTTTGCAGAGTTGCAAAGCACAGGTGCTTCTGGGAAAGGTGTTTAAAGGTGCGGGTGGTGGTGAAATGCTCCATGCTCCTCCTTACCTGCTTCCCACAGGCAACCTCCCAAGCCAGGAGAGAGAAGGGCAAGAGAGATGACAGCTGGGCAGGGAGAGCAGCTCATCTTGAGAGAAACATCCCTGATTCAGCCCCAAGCTCCTGGGGAGGCAGGACATGCCGTGCCAGGCGTTCAGGTGTTTTGCAGGAAGGGACATGCCCTCCCTGTTTGTCCTTGTGCCAGCAAGATTGACAGTGTTTGCAAATACTGCAGGCAAGGCCAGGAGCTGGGGAAGTGCAGAGATCTGCACTGGCGTTTAAATAAATGTGTGGAAAGGATTTACTTCTGTGAGAGAGGCCCTCTCAGTACTGCTGCTCTTTAGGAGGCTGATCCCAACTGCTTATCTTTGGAGATGAAACAAACCATGTCTTGCCAAAACCTGCTATCTTGGAAACTCAAGAACATGCCAGAAATGGGGCATAAGTAGGGAATTTGGGGCTCCAAAGGACACTCTTACCCACAGCGGGACACAGACTAGTTTGCTCCAGCCATCCTAGAGCAAGAACTTGGTGCAGCTGGGCCAGAGATTGCAGGGTGGGTTCCCTTTCCAGCAAGGACGCTGATGTAGCTGAGGCTTGGCCATACGCCAGCAGGGAGGTGTTTCCCTTCACCTTTGTTCCACAAGCCATGGGCCGCAGAGCTCCAGCTGAGCTAGGGAGCTTGGGGCAAGCCCCACCACCGCCCACTCTGTCAAGAAACTTGCCACAATGCAGAGGCATGATAGCTCCTGTTCATACAAGAGCTGCAGCAGCAGCAGCAGCAGCAGCAGGTTCACTGGTGTTTTGGGGTTTTTCCACTCTGCTGATCTTTACTCCCTCCAGAAATCTTGGTAGGCTGGGGCTGAGGCAGCTCAAGTTGACAGGAGACAGTGGTGTCTTTTGGGAGGGTGTCTGCTCCTGGTGATGCCTGACCATCACCAGCTAAAAAACCACTACACATGCCCACTTCCATGGAGGTGCTCCTGGCTACTGCTTGGAATTTCAGGGGTTCAGCCTCTCTGCTCCCACCCTTTCTCTGCTGGCAATAACTCACTCTCCATTTATCACAATTTATTGAAGGGGTAAAACTGAATCAGTGCAAGGATGCACCATGTGGACCCACGCCCTCCACTAGGGGAGCAAGGAGAAGCAGAGTCCTTCTGGGTAGGGGAAATGAGCCTGTCACACCTCCATCTGGAAGTGAAGGTCAGAGCCTGCCATGTACTTCTGGTAGTGCTGGTCAAAGCGCTCGTTCTGGGCCACAGTGAAGTGATTCTTCCAGTCTCCAGAAATCCCTGGGGGCAGGAAAGCAAGTAGGAAAAATCCTCATACAGACAAAATATTTGCAGTCACAGATGGGGGCTGAAATCCAACCCCAAATCCAACTTCCAAACCCTCCACAACTGGCTGCACTCTACCTTTCCGGAGGAAGGGGGAGAGGTTGTGGTCCATCAGGGCAGTGGGCATGGTCTCATAGTTAGCAGCAGGATTCTTCTTCATCTCCTGGAAGGAGGTGTGGTGGAGGATCCTATCTACTGTTCCCTCTGCCACCTTCTTGCCAAGAAACTGCAGGATCTTCTGCACCTCCTGCCGTGGGTCCTACAAGGTGATTGACATGAGGAAGCTGCCAAAAAGGCTGGGGGGTTGCAACTGGAGCACCCTCTCCTCCATCCCATCCTTACCTTCTTCATGTCCTCATAGAAGAGGTAGAGGATCTGCTTCTCCTTCTCCTTCTTCTTCTCCCACCAGCCCTGCACATGGTCATACCAGGAGCCATAGGCCGCTGTGGGATATGGTCAAAGGATTAGCTGAAAAGTGGGGCAGAGAGGGACAATCTTCCTATCAGAATTTCAGGGTGGGCATCCTGTGGCTCAGCCCCCACCTTTGCCAGCCATGAAGGTCTCCAGGAACTCAGCCAGTGTGCCGGGGTCAGGGTGTATTTTGGCCATCTGGTAGAAGTAGTAGTAGGAGATGACGACATCCTTGGCATTGCGGGCCATGTAGATAATCTGGAGACAGCCGAGGATGTGGTTGTGAGGTACAGAGTGGTGCCTCCCCCCTGCCAGTCCAGATGGGGAGAGAGGCAGGGGCCAACTGTGGTGTTACCTTGCAGCCCTTGTCCCAGAAGGAGGTTGGGAGGAGCTGGACTGGGAGATGGGTCTTTACCAGTCGTGGGGATGGGGTGTTCTCCAGCTGCTCAACACCTGTGGCACAGGGAACTTAGAGGTGTGAGCCCCAGCACCCTCTCACCAACCCAAGCTCTGCTCCCTCCCTACCCAGCCTGGGCATCCAGGCTGGGGGAGCTCACCGCTTGGCAATCTGGGGGCCTTCATTTCCAGGAAGGGCACACGGTTGAAGATGGCATCCCGTCGGCACTTCTCTACATCACCATCATGGTAGATCATATCCATGATCTCGCTCAGCCATGTCGTGCCTGCAGCACAGGAACAGCATTGCAAAGGCTGGTGTCACCCCATCCCCCTGCACCCTTCCCCAGGGCCACTTACCTGACTTGGGGTAGGTAGAGATAAGCAGGTCATCTGGACGAGCTTGGAAAGCCTTCACCTGTGGCCAGCCCTCGATGAAGCTCTTGTAGAGGGGGATGCCATGGAGGCTGCCCAGGTCCTGCCTGATCAATTCTTCATGCTCCATGGCTTCCAGCTGGTCCTCACAGTGCCGGCTGTCCTCTCTGCTGCCACACTGGCTGGATCCCGTGGCAGGACTACGCCCAGGACAGTGCCCCATCAGGCAAAGTCCACTCTGGGTCACGTGCAGCAAAGGTGTTGCTGGTGCCACAGGGGCATGCCCTGCTCCCCAACAGGATGCCACTCCCAACACCTTTGGTGCCAGCTGTGCACTAAGCCCAAGCTGTGCAGGGCTGGGAACAGAGCTCAGCATCACCTCTCCTCCCACCTGTCTGTGCTCCTCCCCTTCAAGGGGTGTCACGGGGTTCTGTAGCTGCAGGGACAGCTCTTCCACCCACAGCCCCCTGTCCCTGCTGCAGCCATACCTATCAGGATTCCACGGGCTCTGGTCCCCAGGAGCCCTGGCACCTCCACTGTCCTGCCCCACCCAAGCAGCAAAGGTTAACGAAAGTCAGCTCAGCTAAGGAGCATGGAGGATGGGAAGCAGGTTCAAAGGGTCAGCAGCTGGGGTGTGGGGCAGTTTTGGAGTGGGCTCTGCCTCTCTTCCCCACCTGCCCCATGAGCACTGTGTTACCCTAGAGTGTTCCTGCTTGTTCTGGTTCGAGACCAGACTGGATTGGAACTGGCTGAGGGTGCTGCAGGCAGGGAGGTGCCTTCCTCCCTGCCCTCCTGGGTGTTCCTTTAATGCTGAGTAAACTGAACTTTTCAATCCTGAATGATGTGATCCAGCATGTCGTACTGTGCAGGGACCTCACACAGTGGAGCAGTGCTGCTATGGCTGCAGGAGGAGATCAAGGAGAAGCAGAAGCAAAGCAGTGCCTCGTCCAGGCCAGGTCAGGGGGGCCTGTGGGAACAGGGGCACCCAGTTTGCCACATCCTGGTGGTAGGTGCTGTGTGGGCTGGAGGGTGATGAGGGTGAGCAGCCACCTCACAGAGAGGTCACTATTAGTCATGGCAGGGCCATGCGGGCTGAGCTGTGTTCCAGACATCATTGTGGGCATCACTATCCCCCTGCACACTTCATCTCGTCACAAGAATCCCAACTCCCCATCTGCAGCTCCATGGGGAAGTGCAGTGGGGTGGCTCAGAGGCAGGGGAGCCCCTCATCTGGGCATAGCCAGGGCATGAGCACCCCACCATGAGCAATGTAGGCAGCATTGTGTGTCCCGGGCTCATGTGAGCCCCCTGAAGAGGAGCAGGGAGGATGCCAGGGATGTGCATGGGGCTCAGCAGCATGTGTTGAGTACACAGCTCCAGGACAGGGCTGGCATGAGCAGACAGGCAGACTGGGGTAAGCTGTCCCCTCTTCTCCTGACATGGGCCCAGCCAGGACCCCTCCCTGCACAGGGGCTGCTTGTGGACTTGCCCATGGGACAACTCACAGCTCATGGCTGATGGGTGTTTTCCTTCCTCTCCATGCAGGAGCGTGGTGACAGGCAGTGCTGAAGAAGTCAGCTACCTGGAGACAGGTAGGGCCGGTGGAAAGAGGGTTCCATCCCAGCTGTGCTATGGGCTCAGAGGCAGTGGTATGCAGGGCAGGATGTGGTGGAGCCCTGTGGGCTGTGAGCGATGCTGCAGGAGGTGTCAGCTGTTGTCCTGCCATTTCCTTTCCTGGTCCAGGGTGAAGACAAGCCACAGCTGTGCCTAGCCTCCCCCAGGGGACGCTGCTGTCCACCTGCAGCTGGCAGAGAGGGACCTGGCCCTGCTCCTGGCACAGGAGACCATCCAGGTGAGACACTCTGGCACCCAGTCAGGCACTGTCCTTGTGGCAGGCAGTCTCCCTTTGCCTTTTTCACCATCCTGTGACAGTGGTGTCCACAGCAGCCCAAACTCAGTGCCCTCAACCTTCTGGGCTACTCCTGTCACCGTACCCAGCTCTGGTGGTCCCCTCATGCACAGGCCAGCCTGGCAGTGGTTTGGCTGTGGTCCAGCTGGCCAACATCTGGCTCAGGTGCTCTTCTGGCCATTCCTGGGCACCATGCTGGGCTTAAAGGACAAAAATCTGCTCAAACCAGGCTGGATGGGCAACAACAGTTCGCTGTGGCCTAGAGACATGGCTCTGGCCCTGCAGTCCTCATCTCTCCATACAGCAGAAGGCACTTTGCTGGCATTTATCTGCTAAAGTTGTCGGAAAGTTGCCTGCAGTTTCCCAACATCACCCTAATCGCTCCCCGAGAGAACAGTTTTCACTTTCAATCCTTTACAACTGGCCATGCCTTCAACTTCTGTGGCATACAGCTGTATGCCTTTTGCCCTGGCCTCTGGGCCATCCCAGGGCTGTGAACCTGGCTCTGGGCATCCCTTTTTCTACCCTGGGTGATTTTTGACATCATTTCATCCAGCACCAAGCCAAGGAGTGGCTCTGTCTTGTCTGAGACTCGGACCTTTCTGCTCAAAGACATTTGAGAAGTAAATGTTTGACAGAGGGGAAGGAATGCTATGGGACACCTTCGATGAAAAGAGTTGTCAGCAGGTCCTGGTGGGAGCTGGGACTCCCAGGCCAGCTCCGTAAGGTTCCAGGGGGATGACAGGGAGTGACCCCCACCCCTGGACTCCATCACCATGCTGCACCAGGGTGCTAACTGCAAGGGCTGACAGTACCACCACGGCAAGATCTACCACTTCTCGAGCAGCAGAGACCTTGAACTAAGGCCAAAGCTGCACATGTACCCACCTCAGTCCTGTCACCAGCCTCAAGGAGTAGATGGGTGTGTGGGGTGCAGCATTCATTTCTGCCTGCCCCTGCTGCTCTGCCTGTTCCCATGCATCCTCCTGTCCATGCATCCTCTGGCGCATGCACCCCTTCCTGCCTGTGCATCCTTCTGCCTAGATCTCCTGCCCATGCTATTTCCTGCCCATGTACCCTCCTGTCCCTACCATCTCCTATCTGTCCCACCCTGCCTATGGCCCTCCTGCCCACCTCCCCCCACCCACACCTATACCCTCTCCTGCAGGACTACCTGATGCAGGGGGTGATGGGAAGAGCTGACAGCCACAGGTCCCAGGGACTCCTGGCACTGGATGCACAGACTGGGAACTGCTACTCCCATGCCCAGAGGTGAACTGGGTTTGGGAGAATGGGGAGAGAGTGGCATCGCCAACCCGCTCACTCTGCTGACCCCACTCTGCCCCAGCAGTTTCTGGGCACCAGGGCAGTTGGACTGGGAGGGCTGTGCCCAGATACATCCTGTGGACAACAGCCTCCAGGTTCCCTGAGATCTACAAGAGAGACCTGAGTGCACCCTGATGCCATGCTGCTGGCCATGCTGCTGAATCTGCTGCCAGGTACACTGCCAGTCCCCTCACCCCTTACCCACCTACCAGGTGAGCCCCCAGGGATATCCGCTCCCCTCTGAAGCAGAGCAGCTACCAGATGAGTGATTGTGCCATGCCACCACTGCTACCATCCCAGAACTGTGGCATAGCACCCAGTTGGGTTAACTCTGACCCGGGGTCCCTCTTTTAACATCCATTCACAGCTACAAGGAGCCACCACCAGCTGTCACGTGCACACAGACCAGTGCGGGAACACGACGCAGGAACACAGCACCATCTCAACTCTGAATGGGTTTATGGGGACAGCTATTAGCTCTCCCATGATGGCATTGGTGGATAAGTGGATTAAAACCCTGCTCTTTTCTGGCTCGTTGCTCTTTATTCCTGAGCTACTTTTCCTGTCCATTCCTCTGGGGGTTGGCAACCATCTTGGATCCCTCCCTTGTCTCTCCCGCCTCGAAATGCCTGGGGGTGGTGGGCAGGGATGTCATCTGTAGCTCAGCGGGATGCTTTGATGCCCAGTTCTCGGTCCATCGCCTGGAGGAAACGTTCATTGAGGAAAAGCATCTGCCCGTGGGGCAGGAGACGATCCAGGAGGCTGTCGACAGCATCTGGACGGAGCAGGACGTCAGCACTGGGGCCAAGAAGGCGCAGGGAGAAGAGCAGGCGCGGAGCCAGGCGTCGCAGGGTGATTTCGGCCAATGATAGATTCTCTTGGGGGTCACAAACCAAAGCAAAGGCGAGAGAAAACACCAATAACCAGACTACTGTCACCTGGTCAGGAAAGGGGTCTCCGGGGGGCATCTGGAAAAGCCCTCCTGGGGCGTCTTGGAGTGACAGCGGTTCGTCAGGGAGCTGGGGGAGTTGCAGGGAGGATGGACGTCCCAAGGATGACTGAAGCAGTTGGCACTGGGAGGCCACTTGCCTGGGACAGAAAAGGGGATTTTCATGTTAAGATTCCTGCCTCATCCAGGGACAGAGTGACCCCCTCTGCTGGGGGGACAGGGTCCCAGGGATCCTGCCATTCCCAGCATCCCCAGAAAGCGTGGATCCCGTGAATGAGGAGGTCATGGTCCTGGGGTTCACACTGAGCCATCCCCCGAAAAGGGGGCTGACACTGTTCTGGGGGTCCCATTGAGCCCAGGCTCCCCTCGGGAATCCCTCAGTGTGTCCCACAGTGAAAGGGTGTCCCAGCCCTGGGCTTCCAGCAAAGCCCATGAGCCTGTCCTCAAAAAAACAGGGTATCATGGCTGTCCCAGGGGGAGGGATCGGCTGTCACATCTCCGGGGGTCTCAGGAGATGGAGGGCGTCACGGGGTCCCACCGAGCCCAACATCCCCAGGAATGGGGGTCCCATGGACGAGGTGTCACCACCCAGGGATGCCGCCCCGAGAGGGGTGTCCCGGG